TAAACCTGGAGGATTTCCGCCGGCGCAACGCAGGCGGGCTGCCATCGCGCCGTTAACCCGGCCATCTGGACCTACAAGTCGGAGAACGGTGAACGTGATAATGGTTGCGCCATCCAGTGTTCAGATATCTGCGCCGCCATGTTTTTTCCAGTTCGAGGGCTGCGCGGCGCGGACAGAGCACCCCGCGCCGCCGCGGAGATCCAGGAAAACCACTGACCTGGCGAAGACCTAAGGAGGGCACGAATCGAGTTTCGGCGCGGGGGGGCTCGCGCGAGCGTCGATAGAGATCTCCGTTCCCATCGGAGCACACACTGTCTACGCGATCGCCGCTGCGTCGCCAAGACTGCAAACAGCGGGAGCGCATCAAAGATTCGTGCCACGGGGTGATAGCACGCATCAATGCCTCTATATATCCAGATTGAAGACAGGATCGGCCGCGGCCCGGACCACGCCCACCCCGGCCTCGCAATCTCGAGCACGCGCCTGACAGCGAACCCAGCCTCCGAGCAGAAGGTCGCCCAACTCGGCAGGAAAGACGTTGGGCTGCAACGCCTTCACTACATCCGCCACACCCCCGTCGGGGGTCCAACGCAACGAACTCGAAAGCGGCCCCGCGTTTGCCAACCCTGCTGCCCTGGACCCTACGTCGCCAAACCGCGCACTTTTCGGGTTGCCCCTCATATATGCCAGGGCGCGCATCGGGGCGCAAACGCGGCGTTGCGCTGGGAGGGGCTCGGCGAACCGAGGGCCTGCGGACGTGGCCAGGAGGCCGCGGCGCGCCCTCCACAAAGAAATGAGCTGCGGTGGGAGCACAAACGGACGCACCACTTGCGCCCCCAAGTGAGGCGGGCGCCGAAGCTCTTCGCGACCATGAACGCCGCGCCGGCGCCAGCTCGCGCGCGCCCGCGCGCCGGGCGGACCTGCCGCGAACGCGCGCCGCCGTCGCCGCTGGCGCCGCCGCCGCCGCTGCCAGTACAGCGGCCGCGGCAGCGCCAGGCGGAGCGCCCACTCCCAGCGGTGGCCAGCGCGTTCCCTCTGGGGCGGAGGCGCATCCGCGCCGCTGGAAGGGCGCAAGAGCCAAGGGACCTCGTCGGGAAGGCATTCGTGCAGAAAAAATCGCCGCCGCCACGACTTCGCGACATAACAAACTAGAACCGAGCATGCAGAATCGCCGTTGTGGACCAAGTCCAAAACTTAAGCGCTGCAGGAAAACTCTGTGGCCTCGACCGCATCCAAGGCCCCTAAGCCCCGACCACACCTCCCCGACGCAGACCTTGACCCACACGAACAAGCCACAGCGGGCTGCAAGAATTTGTGGGCCAGGGATCCTGCACATTTGCCTTCCCGAGCCTTCGGCCGAAACCAGAATTTTGTGGCGAAGCGGATCGACCGGCATGATCGTAGAAGAAACGTGACAATTTGAGAACAAAAACCTCCCCCATCATCATCATCATCATCATCATCATCATCATCATCATCATCATCATCATCAGCTCATCATCATCATCATCGTCGTCAGCATGATCATTAACATCATCAGCATCGTCGAAATCATCAGCATCAGCAATATCATCATCGGCAGCATCATCCGCATCAGCATTAGCATCAGCATCATCATCATCGTTATCATCA